TTTTTTAATTAAATTGTTTTACAGTCTTTGAAATCTTAATATAACTTAAACTTTTTGTAATCATTGCAATTGTGATGTATACAAATATGTAAATCCTTGTGCTTATAGCGCTAATCAAATGCTTTCTAAATATTCTTTTCATCAAATTGCTTCATTTGAGGAGCTTTCTAGATTGTTCAGATACATCAGACTTGTTTCAGAAATTCTGTCCCAAGTCAGGAGCCTCTAGCCTTTGTCAGTCTTGTATTATTTTTAATTTTAGTTTCTTGTGTACAATTTGGAGTTTAGTATGGCGTTCATTATCACTGAACTAGTATATATATTTGTTTAGGGGCCAGCTGGAGGACGCCTCCGGGTGCGGGAATTTCTCGCTGCATTTAAGACCTGTTGGTGACCTTCTGCTGTTGTCTGTTCTATGGTCGGGTTGTTGCCTCTTTGACACATTCCCCATTTCCATTCTCAATTTTATTAATCTGTCTAACATATATTCCGGAACATAGTTCTGACACATTCATAAAATTTAAGACATTTTCAGAAGTTCTGAATTTTTCTGAATCAAAATGTTTTCAAGATTCAGAAAAATGCAGCAGAAATTCAGAATTGTCAGTCTCCATTCCAAAAAAGTTATATCACGTAATCACATGATTTATAACTAACTTAAAGGGTTTCAAATGTTTGGATATAAGCATTCCTGATGAAGGTTATTTATCATGCTAATCCAGAAGAGCACTTAGGACGCACGAAATTGGTATTGTTATTTTCATATCGGGATTCAAAAAGATTCAGTCATATTTTTCTTGTATTAGACAATTTCTAAAAGAATTTAGATATCTTCAGACAAATTGGGACTGTACTCAGAACTGTTTCTTCCATGATGGAACAATGTACTTACTTTTTACATTTTACCTCTTAAAAGAGGGGCGAAAGATACCAGAGGGACAGTCAAACTCATAGATCGAAAATAAACTGACAATGCCATGGCTAAAAAAGAAAGAAACAAACAGACAAATAATAGTACACAAGACACATCATAGAAAACTAAAGACTAAGCAACACAAACCCCACCAAAATGACACCATTTTTTTCTAAAATAATTTCTTTCACTATGATTTTAATAAAACAGTAAAATACTTGGTCTGTATCTTTATTAAAAGGTGAATAATTTACATATTAGTTACTAGTAGTTGTTTACATATTAAATATTTCCCCTATCCAAGCAGTTTCTTAATTAGCGTTTATCATTTTTTTTACTGTTAATGAGAGATCAGGTTTGTATTATGCATTGACTCATGGGAAGGTCTGACAGACAGGAGTTTTTTGTTCATGCTTATTATAGGTCAAAACTGTTTTAAATTGATCAATTATTAACAGATTATTGATTGACAGTGTTCATTATAAATTGTAAAAATTTCGCCAATTAAAGCCAAACAGACTAGCTAGATTATATTAAAAACATTATTTGTATATGAATTTCATATCTTTCCTCTATTGCTGTTATTTGATAGAATTTGAAAGGGTTGAACTGTGACCTTTAGCTGATTATTTACTTGTCTATTGGTTTGTGGTGAATTGTTGTCTCAATATCTATCATAACACATCCGCTCATTTGTTTTTTGTTATAGAGAATGTGTAGAGCTTTAACAATGGTGATTTATTTTCATACCTAAAATGTCACATTAATATATTTCTAAAATTGCTTAAGTAATGCCATATACATAAAATAAAATGTATAAGATGGTATCATGAATCTGTCTCCCATAAAATAGTAACAGTACAATTATTACATGTTCTAATAACATTGCAATGCTGGTGAAAGTAAAGACAGCTCGTAATGTGTTTTTCATTATTCCGTTCAACTACAAATAACTTGCACATCTTTATGAGACTTAAATAAATGGTGATTGAAATCGGTATTCTATTTCTTTGTAGATTTATTCCAGTTATGGATGGACTCAATCCATTGCTACAGTAGACTGGAAGAGGACAAAAGTAATTCTGCTGACAGCAAGACATCAGATGATCTTGATCCACCAGTAGTTATTGTTGGTACTTGGAAAGATGCTGTGACCTCTGATGTAGAAGAGGTATTGAAAATCTACAAATGTTTATGGGTTGCAAGCACACTTCTACTGTTCTTTCATTTTTGTACAGGACCATTATGTTTTACTGATAGTGTAATCTAATCAGATCAACATTTTGACAATATCTAATGCATACCTGTCAACCTATGCAAATGAAAATGCAGGTCATGACCTGCATTGAAGAATCAAATCTTAGGTCATAAAGCGAACGAACTTTTTACAGCTGAATTTAAGTATTTAGGGGACATGTCGTTATATTTTAAATCCAACAGTTTCCAAAATATGTTCGCATGATGAATTTCTAATAGAAAATAGGCTTTAATTTCATTTGTTCATTGCATAAGCCATTGACATATTTATGTGTTCAATATACTGTATTATGTCAAACCTAACTATACCCCATCTCCTAGTTTGATTTAGAGTATTAACTTAATTCTCAAGCTACAGTGCTTGATATCATTTATCATTATTCACCGTTGGACGTGATTTTTATTTCTCAGTATGTATCATGCTGTGTAACAAATATAAAAGAGAGTGATTATTATAATGTAATAAAATAATTAAGCATTCAAAGGAACTGAAGATAAAAAAATTAATTTTCAAAATATTGTTTTCATAGTTCTAAGGTAGAAAAATAAAAGAATATAATATTCTGATATGTATTTGCATTCAATTCGTTCTAAGATTTAATCTTTTTACAAATATAAATCATAAAATTAAGGAGTATATTGTGAAAGGTGACAAAAAAGGGAAAGTAACTCAAATTTGTTGTCAAACAATTTTAAAATAGACAAAATTATTTATGACCTTAAGCTACGGTAATTGGTGTTAATTAACAGTGTGTTTGACACCAAAGCTGTCAAGTGAAGCCATGCACTTAATTGGTCATTGTTGATAAATATTCCAAATCAACTTCACAAATAATACATGATGGTCTTGAAGTATAAATTCTGCGTACTGACGCTGTTTATCATCTTAATAACGTGTTAAAGTGTTCTTTTTTTTGTCTTTATTAATATTACTTTTACTGTTTGGTCTGTTTTTGGTGATATATATATGTGACGTGGCTCTGTACTTATGCATCCCGTCATTGTGTTGTTTGTATTATTTTTCATTTTTACTTGTGTGCTTTGTCCGTGTGACTTTTTATGTTTCTTTGATACATATGACGTGTCTCTGTACTTTAAACATCCCGCCATTGTGTTATTGTTCTATTATAATTTTTGCATACTTTGAACGACAAAATTATTTTATATCTCTACCTGTGTGACGTTTACATTCTGACGTGAAACGCGCGATTCTACGCCAGAGTTAATGTTAAAATTACGATTCTGTCCCAGTGCTTAAAATCCCTCAATCCTTTATGGGTTGGTTTAGCATACATAAATAATATACAAAAATAAGTTAGCAATGAACGAGGTTGTTAAATGTGATATATGATTTTTTGTGCTTCTTTGTTAAATACTTGTTTGTTTTTGTTGTGATTAAGATTGTATCGATATCACGGTGTTGACTGCTGTACCCCTATTTTGACATTTTTACCTATTATGTCTGTTTTATTCACGCATCGTTGTCAATATAATGAAATTGGATGCGACTGTCATACAAGTGAGAGGTTTAGCGCTTTAAAACCAGGTTCAATCCACCATTTTCTACATAAGAAAATGCCTGTACCAAGTCAGGAATATGACAGTTGTTGTCCATTCGTTTGATGTGTTTGTGCTTTTGATTTTGCCATTTGATTAGGGACTTTCCATTTTGAATTTTCCTCAGAGTTCAGTATTTTTGTGATTTAACTTTTCACTTAATTTGACAGTTAACACAGCTATTTGAACTTCTTGTCTAGGAAGAATTGCGAATTTGCCTGGTATTTCAAAGGAAAATCACTTTAAGGACAATCTAAAGGCTCCCTTATTTCAAAACGGGTTATTTTCCAAATTCACAGGTTATTTGACGACCCAGAGGATATTTAAACCATCCCGGGTAGGGGGTGAAATTCTCGGGTGTGACCCGCAGGATACGGGTCAGTTGACAGGTATGATAATGAAATAACTTTATCAGTTTAAAGTGTTATCAGGAATAGCAAATCCTTTATCACATTTTAAAAAAGTTGTGTTCTTACGATAATTTATTTAATATAATATAGTTAAATGATTATCATATATGTTTATATACATGTAGCTTTAGTATTTACTTCATGTTTTCAAATATGTTCAAAGCATTCATATATTTGTAAAGACCAAACAAACAAACAAGCATATTTTTTTTGTAGATTGACGATGCATGCCGAGAAAACATTTTTAAGTTTACGAAGAATATGTCAGAAGATGAACTAAAACATATAAGGCAAGAATACTTCATTTCCAATACAGAAGATGACCCCAGTGTATTCCAGCAAATCCGAGAAGACATCCTAAGCTTAGCTAGAAAAATAAAAACGTGGAACAAAGTTTACCCCTTAAAATTTATTCAGCTGGAAAAACGACTTCAAGAGAAAAAGAAGGAGTTACCAATTATTTCCTTTCATGAAATTAAGCACATCTCTACTAATACACCTAATCCACTAAATGATGAGGAACTCAGATTGTTCCTGGAATTTCACCATGAGATCAGAGCTTTAGTTTATTTCAAAGATCTGTCTTCTTATATTATTTTAGACACACAGTGGTTGTCTGATGCTTTTAAATGTATAGTCACAGCTAAGAAATTTAGAGCTTTTAGTACTAAAAATAGAACAAAATGGGATGAATTGTATAGCAGAGGCAAATTACATAGTGAGGTTTTAGACGACATATTTAGAAAAAGTGAAAACATTTTTGCCAAACACAAGGATCACATCCTGAACGTAATGGAGAAATTTGATATCATTATACGTCCTAACATATCAGAAACTCAAAGAGACGCTGGTGATGGCAAACCTCTCTATTATGTACCTTGTATGATTAAATCAGAACCTGAGTGTGATATATACGAAATGTTTAATGTTACAGAAAACACATGTAATAAGTCCACCTGGTTATGTTATAAGTTTAGGTTTCTTCCACCTCATTTAATGAATCATTTAATTGCGTCACTGTGCAGGAAATATAAAGTTGCAGAAGTTGTCACGAAGGAACAGAAAAGACAAATTGCTCTCTTCAGAGATTCAGCTGTCTTTGAGTTACAGAAAACGACAAAATTAGCAAAATTGCATATACTGAAATGTCCGAATTGGATTCAAATTCAGGTTTGGCAATTTGAGAAAGGACGTCAAATGTACAAATACATTGACGACTTTGTGACAGAGGAAATTGTCAAGATAATAAGCACAAGATTTAAGATGTCTAATGTGAAATTTAAGAAAAAGTGGGAATGTGGCCAAACAAGACCAGAGTCTGTAACAGGATTGTTTGACTATCCTGAAGATCAGGATACAAAATATTATTGTGAGACATGTAGAATTGCACATGAGTTCACAGGTGAATGGTCAGATCTACAATATAGAACAGTTGATGTAAGTAAAAGATTTATCAATGTTTGGTGAGTTTTACAAGGAAAATTTGTAATAAGATGGTACATTGGTTAACCTCTTTTAGTCCTTCCATTAATCCATCCAATAAAATGTTTTCCTAGCTTTTCTCAGGCACTAACGTTAAGAGAAATTTACATCTTAATAGTTATTTGTTGATTTAAACAATTTTTCACTTTCACATTAATTGTTTATCGTGATCCAGTTTGATATAAACATATATTTTTACACATTTCAACCATATATTATGTATATGACACATGTTTTTCTCTCTTTCTAAAAAGTGTCAATTAGAGTTCCATGAAATTTGCTATACCGCGTGATACCTTTTCAAATATGATACTCATCAACTCCGTCTCTGTATTTACCAAATACTTATCTATTGATATGAAAATAGTTAGAAAAAGCTCACAGTTCAACTTGTCCATGTTGTTTCCTCCAGAAAACTGAAGCAAGACATGTATTTTACTTCAGAATCAGGCAGCAGTGATGTCCTCAACCTCCTTTTCTTAGTTCGGATGGTCTAAAGACCAAACAAAGAACTGGCAAGAGATAAACTGAATATTTCAGAAACTAACTGTGAAAACTTAACTATAATCTGCTTGTAAAATTAAAGATGCTCTATCTATGCAATCATTGTAATAACATGTAAGTTGTAATATGTTTCCATAATAGTTCATACATTTAAGTAGAGTGCTGTTTTAATTATATATAAGGTAAGGGGGATCATCTGATAGTGGTACATTTTATTTTCTAAATTATTGTAGTTGTTACAGAGTTCTGCAAACGTTCCAATATCTAATCCTTACACAGAAAGCTCAAGTCAAATCCAAACTACGGTTCAATCCACCAAGGTAAAAAGCTACTATTTTATAGCATGGAAGTTATCCTTATGTTGATATTTGTATAACTAGCAGTAAGTATTATGTTGATATTTGTATAACTAGCAGTAAGTATTATGTTGATATTTGTATAACTAGCAGTAAGTATTATGTTATGTATACATGATGATGTAAGATAGATTAATTATTACTTGTATTACTTCAGACCTAATTTCTGACAAAATTATACATTCGTCAAATCGAGCAACTTTTACTTAGCATGTTTAGATTGACAATAAATAATATGAAATATTTCTTGCTGTTGAAATGCAAACTATTCAGACAGTGGATTCAAGATAATCCAAACTGAGCATTTTAGCTAATCTGACAATGTAAGCTATTGCTATGGTTTTGCGTCTTTTTCCCTCGTTCTGAATGTAAAAAAGATTTTCCTCTTTTTAAAGAAAAATGTGCGGCCAAAATGAACCAAACTCCAATCATTATCTTTACTTATAAATTGATTTACCTTTTCAGTTAAAATCTATAAGGAGTCTGGGGTTTAAAATTTCAATGACGGGCTTGTTTGAAACTTAAGCAGAGGACTTTTCATCATAAAGGTAGCACATCTTTGAAGAAAAATGTAGCTTTTTTTAATTTACCCATTTTACTAATTCTTGTATACGCCAAAGAATTTAGACATAATTGCATGCTTGAATTGGTTGATTATTCAACCTACATGTATGTTTATAAAAATAGAATGAAAGAAAATGATAGGGGCCACCCTCATTGACATATTTTTATACGACCGCAAAATATTTTTTGCATCGTATAATGCTATGATGTCGTCGTCTGCGTCGTCGTCCGAAGACACATTTGGTTTCTGGACAATAACTTAAGTTTAAGTGAATGGATCTCTATGGAATTTTACCAGAAGGTTCAATACCTCAAAAAGAAGGTTTGGATCGAATTTGGGGGTTATGGTACCAACAGTTATGGGATTAGGGGCCAAAAAGGGGCAAAAAAAAGCATTTTTGTAGTTTCCGCACACTAATATGTGTGTTAGTGTATGGATCTCTCTGAAATTGTACCACAAGGATCCATATCACAAAGGGAAGGCTGGGATTGAGTTTGGGGGTAATTGCCCTAAACGTTCAGGAATAAGGGGCAACAAAGGGGCCAAAAACAAGCATTTTTCTAGTTTCCAGACTATAACTTGTGTTTAAGTGTATGGATCTCTCTAAAATTGTACTACAATGTTCCATACCACAAAAGGGAAGGCTGGGACTGAGTTTGGGGGTAATTACTTCAAAGGGGGGGTCAAAAAATTGGGGAATTTTTTTTGTCTAAATTTTTTTGGGGGATTCATTTTTTGTCTTCAAAATTTTTGAAATCTTCAATTGCACAGTATTACGCAATAGCAAGAAATCTTCAATTGCACAGTACTGCGCAATAGGAAGAAATTTTCATTTGCACAGTATTGTGCAATAGCAAGAAATCTTCAATTGGACAGTATTGCCCAATAGCACAGTATTGCACAATAGCACAGTATTGCACAATAGCAAGAAATCTTCAACTGCACAGTATTGCGCAATAGCAAGAAATCTTCAATTGCACAGTATTGCGCAATAGCAAAACAATCTTCAATTGCACAGTATTGCGCAATAGCAAGAAATCTTCAATTGTACAGTATTTCGCAATAGCACAGTATTGCACAATAGCAAGAAATCTTCAATTGCACAGTATTGCGCAGTAGCAAGAAATCTTCAATTGAAAACAAATACAAATATTTCAACCAATTTCAATGGGATTAATTAAGTCTTTAATTTTGGGGGGGTTCTAACCTTGTATAATTTTTTGAGATAATGGGCCCGATTTTTAAATTGGTTTACATTGAGGTCAAAAGGGTCCCAAATTAAACTTTCAAAAACTGAATTATTGCGGCTGTATCATGTATGGTTTGCTGAGTCTTATTATACATTTAGATTTTGTTAATTTGGGCCCTGTTTTCAAATTAGTCCATATTGAGGTTTGAAGGGCCCAAAATTAAACTTTGTTTGATTTCAACCAAAATTAAATTTTGGGTGTTTTTAGCTCACCTGGCCTAAAGGGCCAAGTGAGCTTTTCTCATCACTTGGCGTCCGTCGTCGTCCCTCTTCCTTCGTCCGTCGTCCGTCGTTGTTAACTTTTACAAAAATCTTCTTCTCTGAAACTACTCGGGCAAATTTAACCAAACTTGGCCACAATCATCATTGGGGTATCTAGTTTAAAAATATATCCGGTGACCCTTCCAACCAACCAAGATGGCCGCCATGGCTAAAAATAGAACATAGGGGTAAAATGTCGATTTTGGCTTATATCTCTGAAACCAAAGCATTTAGGGCAAATCTGACATGGAATAAAATTGTTTATCAGATCAAGATCTATCTGCTCTGAAATTTTCAGATGAATCGAACAACCCATCATTGGGTTGCTGCCCCTGAATTGGTAATTTTAAGAAAATTTTGCAGTTTTCGATTATTATGTTGTGAATATTATTATAGATACAGATAAACTGTAAACACCAATAATGTTCAGCAAAGTAATTTCTACAAATAAGTCAACATGACTAAAATGGTCAGTTGACCCCTTAAGGAGTTATTGCCCTTTATAGTCAATTTTTAACAATTTTTCGTAAATTTTTGTAATCTTTTACAAAAATCTTCTCCTCTGAAACTACTAAGACAAATGTAACTAAACTTGTCCACAATCATCATTAGGGTATCTAGTGTTAAAAATGTGTCCGATGACCCTGCCCGCGAACCAAGATGGCTGACATGGCTAAAAATAGTACACAGGGTAAAATGCAGTTTTTTGCTCATACCTCTGAAACCAAAGCATTTAGAGCAAATCTGACATGGAATAAAATTGTTCATTAGGTCGAGATCTATCTGCCATGAAATTTTCAGACTAATCAGGCAACCCGTTGTTGGGTTGCTACCCCTGAATTGGTAATTTTAAGAAAATTTTGCAGCATTTGGTTTTTATCTTGAATATTATTATAGATAGAGATAAACTGTAAACAGCAATAATGTACAGCAAAGTAAGACCTACAAATAAGTCAACACGATCAAAATGGTCAATTGACCCCTTAAGGAGTTATTGCCCTGTATAGTCAATTTTTAACAATTTTCATAAATTTTTTAAATTTTTGTAAATTTTTACAAAATATTTTCCACTGTAACTACTGGGCCAAGTTCATTATAGATAGAGGTAATTGTAAGCAGCTAGAATGTTCAGTAAAGTAAGATCTACAAACACATCACCATAACCAAAACACAATTTTGTAATGAATCCATCTGTGTCCTTTGTTTAATATGCACATAGACCAAGGTGAGCGACAAAGGCTCTTAAGAGCCTCTAATTTTATATGCTAAATCTAATCATGTTGTTTTTAAGATCTTTGATCACATTTATTTTGTGTCAGAAACCTATATTATGTTAAAAATTTGATCACAATCCAAATTCAGACAGTATCAAGCTTGAATATTGTGTCCAAACTTGCCTTAACTTTTCAGGGTTTAACCTCTGCGGTCGTATCAGGCTGCGCTCAGCGAAGCATTTTATCATGATGGTTACCAATATTTTCTATTGATAATGAATGACATGCTTGTATATTTGAAGGTATTTGTCCGGGTCCAAGCTGGTGAGAGAGTATTTTCAAATGCCAATGAAGGGGCAACAGGAACAGCCAGTTCGGCAGGGGTATGTAACACCACAATGTAATTTCATGCCAAATTCAGTTCCCAAAAATGAAAATAAATGAATTGGGAGATGTTCAGTCTTGCGTTTGTTTAGTTTGTTGAGAAAGTGTAACGTTTGAATAGTCAAGTTGTATGTAATTCCCCTTTTTTTTATTTACCCTGGAGTTTGGTAGTTTTGTTATACTTTTTTAGCTCACCTGGCCCACAGGGCCAAGTGAGCTTTTCTCACACTTGGCGTCCGTCGATGTTAACTTTGAAAAAAAATCTTCTCCTGTGAAACTACTGGGCCAAATTTAACCAAACTTAGCCACAATCATCATTGGGGTATCTAGTTTAAAAAATGTGTCCAGTGACCCGGCTTACCAACCAAAATGGCCGCCATGGCTAAAATTAGAACATAGGGGTAAAATGTAGATTTTGGCTTATATCTCTGAAACCAAAGTATTTAGAGCAAATCTAACATGAGGTAAAATTGTTTATCAGGATAAGATCTATCTGCCCTGAAGTTTTCAGATGAATAGAACAACCCATTGTTGGGTTGCTGCCCCTGAATTGGTAATTTTAAGGAATTTTTGCCGTTTTAGGTTATTATCTTGAATATTATTATAGATAGAGATAAACTGTAAACAACAATAATGTTCAGCAAAGTAAGATCTACAAATAAGTCAAATGACCAAAATAATCAGTTGACCCCTTAAGGAGTTATTGCCCTTTATAGTCAATTTTTAACAATTTTTTCGTAAATTTTTGTAATCTTTTACAAAATTCTTCTCCTCTGAAACTACTGAGACAAATTCAACCAAACTTGTCCACAATCATTATTAGAGTATCTAGTTTAAAAAATGTGTCCGATGACCCTGCATGTGAACCAAGATGGCCGACATGGCTAAAAATAGTACATAGGGTAAAATGCAGTTTTTATACGACCGCAAAAAAATGTTTTTGCGATCGTATATTGGTATCACGTCGTCGTCCGAAGACATTTGGTTTTCGCACAATAACTTTAGTATAAGTAAATAGAAATCTATGAAAATTAAACACAAGGTTTATGACCACAAAAGGAAAGTTGGGATTGATTTTGGGAGTTTTGGTCCCAACAGTTTAGGAGGGGCCAACAAAGGGCCCCAAATAAGCATTTTTCTTGGTTTTCGCACAATAACTTTAGTATAAGTAAATAGAAATCTATGAAATTTAAATACAAGGTTTATGACCACAAAAGAAAAGTTGGGATTGATTTTGGGAGTTTTGGTCCCAACAGTTTAGGAATTAGGGGCCAACAAAGGGCCCCAAATAAGCATTTTTCTTGGTTTTCGCACAATAACTTTAGTATAAGTAAATAGAAATCTATGAAATTTAAATACAAGGTTTATGACCACAAAAGGAAGGTTGGGATTGATTTCGGGGGTTTTGGTTCCAACAGTTTAGGAATTAGAGGCCAAAAGGGTCCAAAATTAAACTTTGTTTGATTTCATCAAAAGTTGAATTATTGGGGTTTTTTGATATGCCGAATCTTACCGTGTATTTAGATTCTTAATTTTTGGTCCCGTTTTCAAATTGGTCTACATTAAGGTCCAAAGGGTCCAAAATTAAACTTAGTTTGATTTTAACAAAAATTAAATTCTTGGGGTTCTTTGATATGCTGAATCGAAACATGTACTTAGATTTTTGATTAAGGGCCCAGTTTTCAAGTTGGTCAAAATCAGGGTCCAAAATTAAACTTTGTTTGATTTCTACAAAAATTGAATACATGGGGTTCTTTGATATGCTGAATCTAACCATGTATTTAGATTTTTGATATTTGGGCCCCGTTATCAAATTGGTCTACATAGAGGTCTAAAGGGTCCAAAATTGAACTTTATTTGATTTCATCAAAAATTGAATTCTTGGGGTTCTTTGATATGTTGAATCTAACCATGTATTTAGATTTTGGATATTGGACCATAATAGGTAAATGTCCAATTTAAAATTTTTAAGTTCTTAGACCACATTCATTCTGTGTCAGAAACCTCTGCTGTGTCAACTATTTAATCACAATCCAAATTCAGAGCTGTATCAAGCTTGAATGTTGTGTCCATACTTGCCCCAACTGTTCAGGGTTCGACCTCTGGGGTCATATCAAGCTGCGTCCTGCGGAGCATTTTATTGGCTCATATCTCTGAAACAAAAGCATTTAGAGCATATCTGACATGGAGTAAAATTGTTCATTAGGTCAAGATCTATCTGTCCTGAAATTTTCAGACCAATCAGGCAACCCATTGTTGGGTTGCTACCCCTGAATCAGTAATTTTAGGAAAATTTTGCAGCTTTTGGTTATTATCTTCAATATTATTATAGATAGAGATAAACTGTAAACAGCAATAATGTGCAGCAAAGTAAGACCTACAAATAAGTCAACATGACCAAAATGATCAATTGACCCCTTAAGGAGTTATTGCCTTTTATAGTCAATTTTTAACAATTGTCATAAATTTTGTAAATTTTTGTAAATTTTTACAAAATATTTTCCTCTGTAACTACTGGGCCAAGTTCATTACAGATAGAGATAATTGTAAGCAGCTAGAATGTTCAGTAAAGTAAGATCTACAAACACATCACCATCACCAAAACACAATTTTGTCATGAATCCATCTGTGTCCTTTGTTTAATATGCACATAGACCAAGGTGAGCGACACAAGCTCTTTAGAGCCTCTAGTTTTAGTAAATATAAAGGAAACAAAAACAAAACAAAAACAATCCGCTTTACTGAAAACAAAATTATGTTTTAATATATGTAATATGTGATGTGAGTAGTAAGTAAACTTTCATCAGTTGGATGAATAAACTTACACAAACGGCTAGTATTTACGTGAAGTGAGTAGTGTGTGTGCAGAATTGGACTTAATCTTTCATTGGGTTGATAATCATACACAGACAGCTTAACTGAACTAGTATTGATATGTGAAGTGAGAAGTATGTGTTCAGCATTGGATGTAGTTTTCATCGAGTCGATAAACATACACAAACAGCATCGAATAGTAATAGACATGATAGAAAAATGTTTACAATAGACAACTGAGAGTCAAGAGTCTACATCAGAGATATTTAAATAAGGGATCATCTCAAAAGTGTTAATTGATTTATTGATTTACTCCACATAACAATGGCTTTTGAACATAACCTCCAGTAGATTTAAGTAAAACGTTCGTTTGAAGTTTTTCCACCTGCTCTATCACTAAGTTGGTTGATTGGTTGGTTGAAAAAAAAATATTTGCATAACATCAGTTACTTCTTCATTTAGATTGATTGGTGTGGATTGTTGGTAAATAGCTTAATTGATTGAATGACATTTTGCTTCATGTCATATTTGACGGAAATTGCATTCATTAATTGATTTGACTTGGTTCGTTTTCTTATATGCATGAATATTAGTAATTGATTGATCGACATTTTCATAACATACAGAAGTGCATATTGTATACCATATACATTGATTGATGGATTGATTGTTTCTATGATGTCCAGTAACAAATACTTTACTTTTATTCTTTATCCACAGAATGATAAAAAAAAATCCTCCAAATAAAGAACCAATTCATAATTTTAGAAAAAAATACACGGGGTTTGGTTCCAAGGAATATACAACAAAGGTAGGGGCTGGCTCCCATTAAATGGAAGGTTTTCATGTCGGTGCAACATGTTTATTTGTACCTTAATCATGGTACTTCTTTCTCATCACTTGTCGTCCATCGTCGTTAACTTTTACAAAAATCTTCTCCTCTAAAACTACTTGGCCAAATTTAACCAAACTTGGCCACAATTATCATTAGGGTATTTATTTTAAAATATGTGTCCGATAACCCGGCCTGCCAACCAACATGGCTGACATGGCTAAAAATAGAACATAGTGGTAAAATACAGTTTTTGGCTTATATCTCTGAAACTAAAGCATTTAGAGCAAATCTGACAATTGGTACAACTGTTCATCAGGCTAAGATCTATCTGCCCAGAAATTTGCAGACGAATTAGACAACTCGTTGTTGGGTTGCTGCCCCTGAATTGGTAATTTTAAGGAAATTTTGCAGTTTTTGGTTATTATCTTGAATATTATTATAGATAGAGATAAACTGTAAACAACAATAATGTTCAGCAAAGTAAGTTCTACAAATAAGTCAACATGACCAAAATTGTCAATTGACCCCTTAAGGAGTTATTACCCTTTAAAGTCAATTTTTAACAATTTTTCGTTAATTTATGTAATATTTTACAAAAATCTTCTCATCTGAAACTACTGAGACAAATTTTACCAAACTTTTTCACAATCATCATTAGGGTATCTAGTTTACAAAATGTGTCCGATGACCACGCCTGCCAACCAACATGGCCGACATGCCTAAAAATAGAACATATGGGTAAAATGCAGTTTTTGGCTTATTTTATGCATCAATTGTAAACAAAAATATCAGGTGAGCGACACAGGCTCCTTGGAGCCTCTAGTTATTGTTTTATGTGTCTATCTGAATCTTAAAATTCCATTGTATTTTCTTTTTGGCATGTTCCAGGAGAGTCGTTCCACTGTATTTAATCGTGAAAGTAGTATCTGTATTTGTTTCTCTTTTTTTAGAAGGGGATATTTAACCTGCTTCTCTTAGTAAAGCATGTTCAGTAAATATTCGTCACTTGACGTCACACAAACAATCAATGAATTGGATAATACTTTTCTTTACATTAGCACTGTGTATCATCGGTATAACGGATATAGGTTAGTCGCGCGTGATCGATTTTGACCTGACATAGTAAGAAAATCTTTGTTTTGTTTACATACTATCAATGTGTACTTCAATCTAAACATAATTGTTGTTTTAAGAAATCATTTGGTCGTAAGTTGATGATTAGAGAAGTCTCATTATTTTCCCAAAACAAGAACGCTTACTAAAAACATGTGCAAATACTTGTCAAAGAAGTTGGCGCTCGTCTCATCCGATATGATTCTATATTCATTGCAACTCTTTTTCTGATAAAAG